TGATGCGCCTACGGAGGTCCACACCGACGCCAGCTGGTGTCGGTCTTGGTGCTGTATTGGCTCAACGAAAACCAGGGTACCAAGAATACGTGGTCGCTTACGCGAGTCGAACCCTCAAGAAAGCCGAGTGTAATTATTCCGTCATGGAGAAAGAGTGCCTCGCAATTGTCTGGGCTTCGACGAAGTTCCGCCCATACCTTTATGGCCAGCCCTTTCGAAGTCGTCACTGCACCACCACGCTCTATGCTGGCTATCATCGCTCAAAGACCCAGTTCGGGGCGCCTTGGTCGGTGGGCGCTTCGCCTACAGGAATACGACATTCGTGTTGTATACCGATCCGGCCGCAAGCACTCCGACGCTGACTGCGCTATCCCGCTCGCCGCTACCAGCTGACCCAAGCCTCCTCGTCACCTTCTTCAGCTGTCATAACACCAATCGACTTCACAGACATGGCATCGGAACAACGCAAAGATGTGTGGATTTCCCAACTCCTCGCCTTTTTGACTGATCCGTTAGCTAATTTTGTGTCAAGAACTATCCGCCGTCAAGCCACACATTTTGCTATTCGAGACGACCTACTCTATCCGCGGAATTACACGTCTGAAGGTAGGAAGTGGCTGTTAGTGATACTCAACCACATGCGCTCAGAAACCACTGCTTTCCACAACGACCCACAAAGCGCTCACGCTGGCGCTCTCAAAACGTACAACCGTCTACGTCAGTGGTACTACTGGCGCGGCATGTACACATTTGTCCGCAAGTACGTGCGTGCTTGTACTGCATGCCAGCGACGTAAAGTCCCACCTCAACGCCCTGCCGGTGCACTTCAGCCTCTGCCTTGTCCAGCGCGTCCGTTTGACCGCGTCGGTATCGACTTATACGGACCACTTCCCACGTCATCTTCTGGAAATAGGTGGATAATTGTCGGCGTGGACCACCTCACGCGTTACGCGGAGACAGCAGCACTACCCGCAGCAACCGCGAGGAAAGTTGCGTTTTTCCTCTTGCGCAACTTTGTTCTTCGCCATGGTGCTCCCCGCGAACTTTTGAGCGACCGGGGGCGTGTTTTCTTGTCTGACGCCATTCAAGCGTTGCTCGCTCAGTGCAACATGGTTCATCGCCTGACGACAGCATATCACCCGCAGACGAATGGCTTCACAGAACGATTTAATCGCACTCTCGGTGATATGTTGACGATGTACACAGCTTCAGACCAGACTAATTGGGACACTGTCCTTCCATTCGTCACGTATGCGTATAACACCGCTACGCACGCGACAACAGGATTCTCCCCTTTCTTTTTGTTGTACGGACGCGAACCATCGTGCACGCTGGACACTATCCTCCCATACACGCCCGACTCCTTTGAGTACACTGCAATTTCTGATGTTGCCAGGTACGCAGAAGATTGCAGACGATTGGCCCGTTCTCTGACAACCGAGGACCAAGGCCACCAGAAGCTACGGCTTGACACCGGCCGACATCTCTCTACTTTCACGACTGGTGCTCTCGTTTGGCTCTGGGTTCCACCGAGCACTCCTGGCCTTTCGTCGAAATTACTGGCACGATACCACGGGCCCTACCGCATTCTCGCCCGTACGTCACCCGTCAATTATGAGATTGAGCCATTGACACAGTCTCATGACTTACGCCGTCGTGGCCGAGAAATTGTGCATGTGAGTCGCCTGAAGCCGTATTACGACCCCGCTATAGTGACTACGCCTTAAGTCGCCAGGTTGGCTACGCTATTCACCGGGGACCAATGTAGGGAACTACGAAGCAGCATGAAACGGCAAGCCACAGCGTTGGTGCACGCGCGACCCGAGCTTGCGCTTGTTTTGTATTTTCGGCCTGTTGGCGTTCCTCGCTCTTCTGGCGTTCCTCGGCCTTCCAGTAGGTCTGTAGGTGAATAAACTGCGTGACACGAGTGAAAAAAAAAGGAGCTGTAAATGCACCGGAGGTTCCATACGTTTGTCCCCGCTGTAAGAGGCTACGTTGCCACCATTCTGAACACATAAAATATCAAGTCTGTCTGTCTGTCCGTCTGTCTGTCTGTCTGTCTGTCTGTCTGTCTGTCTGTCTGTCGTCTGTCTGTCTGTCTGTCTGTATATGCTGGACTGGCTACACCGCGTGGTGGACGTGGGATTGCCCTAGACCATAAGGAGCTTCGCTACTTAAAAAAAGAAAGTGGACATAACATCACAGATAAACTTCCATGAGGTGTTTACCTAATAATTTCACAAGACGCTGCCGATGGTTTCTTAGCCCGGGCGATCCATGTCCGTATCGTATAGACACGAATAGGGAATGGTCAAAGTAGTGGTTACGAGAAAAAAGATTCTTATCTCTGCAGCCCAACATGGAGCGTGGCGCAGCGTCGAGGAAAGTGGTAGGGCTGAAAGCTAAACAAGGTGTAGCGGCGCTCGCATTGGCGCAATGTGGGGGCGCTGCAGTATGACATGGAGTAGTGCGAGAAAGTGGAGATGGCGTGACAGCACTGAATGCTCACGCCGGAGGAACACGAGGATGGTCGTCAACATTAGGAACTCTTCGTTAAAATTCATTCTCATCGCAATGTTATGGCCTCGCGAATATCTTGAGTGCGTAGCACGTGAGAGACTCGGCTTGTCATTTATATCTTATCTTGTGTTCAACGCAATGTTCAATTCAGCCTTACCCCATTTCCCCCAAAAAGTAACGATGCTCCGAACTAGAAACTAGTACAATAAGCTTACTAGGTCAGAGGCCATACAGAAGTAACGAAGAACTATTCGCAATAATTCGCCTAAAATTGCGATATACACTTCTGAAACGTTCGGCTGGTACCCGCGTCGCTCGAGAGAGGGTGCCACCGCTGTGACAAGCGCGTGATAGCTAACGGAATAGCTGAATTGCTGGCCTCTACTACGCACTTTCTGAGGTTTCGCGGTATAGTGTAGCTGTACGAATGTTCTGTCTTGTAACAAGTTTGCCTTGAATCTCTGTTAACAGTTGAGAAACGTTCTACTGTTGAGAATCTGGATAGCAGCTTGAGTAAAAGTTGTTGTTCATCTAGTTAGCGCATGTTACAAGAAAATTAGACGACGTGAACCAAGGCGAAAGGACAAAGCGTCATCAGTTTTTTTTAGATAATGCCACGAATCTCTTTCGCTTACAATACACCGAAAGGCTTTTCAGGCTTATGTGTTCTTACGCTGAAAAAGAGTTTACAACACACCTAGCTTAGGCGCATTAACAGGTTTAGACAGTCTCGTGAGCTCCAGTTTTTTACACAGCAACGTGACTTTACCTCGTTTACTTGGATAGTCACTGGCTTGCAGTTTGGCAGCTTCCGCTTGTTCACTGAAGGTCTTCGTCGTTGTCAAACATGGCAAGACCTCCTTCTTTGTCAGCTTGGAGGAGCTGAAGTTCGTCCTGTTTGAAGAAAACCACTTGTGTGCGCGACACACTTGGGAACGCGTTTTTTCATTCCCTGGTGGATTGCGTCGTCTAATTTTCTGGATAACAGGCGGTTTGATCCGCCAAGTGCGATGAACCAGGCCAGCGTAGGCGCATCTCACTGTGGTGTGGAAACGCCACACATATAAGATGCGAGAGTGTCACTGGTCCCGTTAATTAGGAAGGCGATTGCCGGGGATGATTCCAAGGTCTGAAGTATCGGCGCCCCGAATGGTACCATGAAAGCATAGACAATTTAGATGTGGTCCTATGTGGCGTGCCATGCAGCGAGCACCGGCTGTGGTTTAAAGAACGAATCAGAGCCGAGAGTTGATAACAAAACAAAAATATATTTTTCAAATACGGCAAGAGCAAACAACACACAAATATGCACACTCGCGAATAATTCAATACACTATGTCTCCAATCACAAGGTATTCTAAACGACGGGTACACAACACAGCAAGATATACTGAAAACAATGGGCACAAACAACAGTACGCACTAGCAATGCAATCTGATATGCACTAACCATGACACTTAGAGACTTAAAAAAGTTCGTCAACCTTATTCAGTCCAAAGTTATTGGATCAAACTTTGAATGATTCTCTTCAAAGAACCGTTCACTCATCTGGACAAAATTTCACCGAGGTCAATCGGTATTCTATTTGAGTGTTTGCTCCGCTGTTTATTTATTGTATGCTGAGGGTTTCACGCGTTGGTTAGATGAAGGAATCCTCCATTTTCATGGAAGCCCTGCGAAGTCCGGCGCTGATTGTCGCTCCGTTGCTTCCGATGTTTCTCTTCTGGGTACCTCGCTTCGTCAAATGTCCGCGCTTCAATAAGAAAACTTCTTCGCCTGTAACACGTCGGCCACTCACGCGCTGCGACTGCAGAACACGTCTTCGCCCACTAGGCGGTAAGCACACACTCTTCTCCTGCTTGTAATACAAGCCTTCACCCGCAGGTGGAAAACCCCTTCATCTCCTCTGCTTTGTCACTGAAGACACAAGCCTTCGCCAGACGGCGGAAAAACACCCTTCATCTCCTACTCACCACCATCCCGCTGCTCGCTTAGTACGTTCGCCCTGGGTTTGGAAGGTTCGTCAGCGCGCTGTACAGCCAAAGCCGGGGAAGGGGCGAGGTTTTTCTGGAACTATCCGCGACGCTTGACGCAACTAGGCAGTGACTCACGCTTTCCTTCTCGATGATTCTGGAGGTCACTCGGCGATGGATGCGAGGAGGTCGGTCAGAGTAGCACGCCACCTCCGAGAAGGTGGGGCAGTGCTCCAGAGGAGTCCTTTGTTGTTTGTTTCTGTCGGGTTGTTTCTGATGTTTGTTGATGTTGGTTTCTTTCGCGACAGTCTGGCGCCTCGATTTCACGTAGCAGTTAGAATTCGGAGGCGCGCGCTTTTTTGAGCGCTCGTTTGTGACAAAGAGGGAATGAATGGTTGCGTCAGTCACACACGTAACACTAACACATATAGCACTGATTTGTTCTCATCTCACTGAGCTGAAGAAATGACGTAATCTCGCATCGGTGCCTTTCTCCCGGCGCTCAGGTGATCATCATGGACGAGCCAACGTCGAACATGGACCCCGACGGCCGGCGCGAGATGTGGGACTTGCTCCTGAAGATTCGCCGCAGCTCTTCCATCTTCCTCACCACTCAGCACCTGGACGAAGCTGACGTGCTCGGGGACCGCGTCATCATCATGGCCAACGGACAAATCAGGTGCGCGCGCGTGCTCTACATGTGTGAGCAGCTTCAAAAACGGGTGACAGTTTTTGCGAGTTCTGGCCGCCGTATAGCAGGAGGTGACGGGTCGCATAGCAGTTTCATAAATCATACACTAGAGGTGAACAACGACAAGGACCATGATAACGATAACAAGAACAATTATAAGGATTGCAATAATAATAATAATAATAATATAATAATAATAATAATAATAATAATAATAATAATAATAATAATAATAATAATAATAATAATAATAATAATAATAATAATAATAATAATAATAATAATAATAATAATACCATTACCAAGAACAAGAACAAAATACTAATACTAATATTATGTAGCGCACTACAGCACAGCATACACACAATGAACGGAACACAGAGACGACGAGCGCTGAGCTTTTAGGAAGCTTTATTAAAAAACAGCACTTATATTTATACCGTCCGACACAGAAGTTATTCTTTGCACATGCATAGGTAGGACATCTCATCGGTGAGCTGTAGAGATGGCACGCTCACACAACCCTCCCTTAAAAATAAAATGATTTCTGATTCTGTGATTTCAAGGTGATAAGTGGTTTAGCTCTTTTGAATGCTAATCCATTTCTTATTCGAAGCTATGTCAGATGTCTGTCACTGTCCGTGGCGTCCGTGCAATGGCAGGTGTTATCTCCTCGCTCTCCCTCCCTCTCCCATAGCAACAGCAGCGAGCAGGCGCACTTAGAGAGTGTAGGAGAGGGTTGGTGCAGTGCGTCGCCGCTCCTTCTCTTCACGTTCGTTTTCTCTTCTACCTGCGCCCACTCTCTTGTCCGCTCGCGCCTCACTTTCGACCATTTGCTGGCTGGGCGCCTCTCAAGGAGGAGGAGGAAAAAACCTTTATTGATGCTGGCTGTTCCAGGTAGCCCTTATCCCCACCGGGCCGGTTGACATCCCTTGTCCGGGACATCATTAGTCGAGGCCGCCACCCGAGCCCGCTGCACTAGAGTTCGCTGTTCCTCTAGTGTGGAGCTATTGAGTGGGGTCGTCTCCCAGTCCTCTTTGGTGGGGTTGGGAAAGGGGGCTAATTTTGGGTTCATTTGGCAGGCCCAGACCATATGGTAAGTGTTGGCCACTTCCCCACAGTACTGACACTGCCCACTTATTTTAGGGTCGTAATATTTTAGTATGGCTGGAGAGAGCAGCGTATTTGTCTGTAGGCGCCGCAGGATGTGCTCCTCCGTTTTCGAGAGTCCCTTCGCTGGTGCGGGATACAGGCGGCGTTGCTCAATATAGTATTCTTTGATTTCTCTAAACCGTGTTGAAGGGGTGGGACGTTCAGGTCTATCAGGGGAACGGGGAGTTTCCCGGGAAGTAAGCACGCGGGCCGCTGCATGTGCAGCCTCGTTACCTGTAGACCCTGATGTCCTGGAGTCCATATAAGACGTTTTGGGGTAGGATCGCGGTTCTTGATGCTGAATTTTAAAAGTCTATTAGCCAATGGAGAGATTTCTCCTGCAAGATAGCTCTCGCAGGTTTTTCGAGAGTCTGTAACTATTTGTTTTGAGTTTGGATGGGATACTGCCAGTGCAATGGCCACCTCCTCCGCCTTACTTGAGCTTGTGGCTTTGAAAGTGAGGCCGTCCACCTGCGTTCCTTGATGTATTACCGCCGCCGTGTAGTATCCCCTAGGTGATGGCCCGGCCACATCGACGTAATAGACCGCATTACGGGAGCCAAGCCGTTGTTCAAGTGCCTCAGCGCGTGCTTGCCTTCTACCCTGGTGCGCCTCCCTGGTCATATTGCGGGGAAGCGGGGACACCCAGAGTTTTGTTCTCCAAAGTTCAGTAATACGCTCCGCGTTTTCGATTTCGCATTCGTGTCGGATCAAGAGGCAGTCCAGTAGGCGCCGCCCGGGGGGCGTCTGCGTAAGACGCGTATATTGATTTCTGAGGTGGGCTTCTTGGAGCTCTTGTATAGAGTTAAAGACTCCCAATGCAGAGAGTTTCTGATTTGAAGTGCTGATGGGTAAATCAAGTGGGCGCTTAATTATTTTCCTAAGATTAGCATCCACTCTGTTCTCTTCGTGTTTAGTCATTCGTAAGTACGGTATTGAATATAGAATCCTGCTAGGTACAAAAGCATTGGCGAGCCGAATCACGTCCCTTCCTCGTAGCCCCCCGCGCTTGTTTGACACTCGGCGCATCATGTGTCCTACCTGTTCTCCAATTTTCCGTAGCTTGTCTAGCGTGGTGCTGTTTTTTGTTCTGTTGTGAATCAGAAGGCCAAGGATTCGTAGTTCTGAAACCTCTCGTATTGTTGATCCTGATACCATGAAGTTCAGGGTCGTCCTATCTTTAATGTTTTCTCTGATATGCAGGAATTCAGATTTGGTTGGAGCGCACTGCAACCCACACTGGGCTGCATAGTCCTCCACAATGGAGGCAGCCTGCTGCAGGTGGTCTTCAATTTCTCCTAAACTGGCCCGATTCGTCCAGATTGTTATATCATCGGCGTATATTGCATGATATATTCCTTCTACTACTGCCAATGCTTGCGGGAGCTTCATCATGGCAATGTTGAATAGCAGCGGAGACAGGACAGCTCCTTGCGGGGTTCCCCGCGTCCCCATTTTGAATGGTCCATGTTATCTGTGCCCATTTTGAATGGTCCATGTTATGTCCGTTATCTGTGCGAATGAACGCCAGTCTTTCAGAGAGGAAGTCTCTGATGTAGGCAAATACTTTCTTACCGCAATGGACACTATTCAAGTTCTTCAGGATGCTTTCATGTTTAACGTTGTCGAATGCGCCTTTAAGGTCGAGTGCAAGGATTGCTCTGTTGTTGTGCGTCGAGGGAATGGGTTGGATTATGTCTCGTTTTAGTTGCAAGAGGATATCTTGCAACTAAAACGAGATAATGTCTCGTTTTAGTTGCAAGACAGGTGGGGCCTAAAGCCAAACACGGAATCTGCGAAATGCCCCTTGCTCTCGAGGTACGTGGCGAGACGGTCTCCAACCATTGTTTCCATCAATTTGCCGGCACATGAAGTTAATGATATAGGTCTGAGGTTGTCCGTGCTGATTTGCTTGCCTGGTTTAGGGATGAATGTGACAACTGCTGTTTTCCATTCAGTTGGCAGTGGTTGGCCATCCCAGATCGCGTTAATGTATTGCAATATATGCCGATAAGAATCGTCTGACAGATTTGCTAACAGTTTTACCGTGATCAGGTCTCCGCCCGGGGCAGTGCCCCTGCGCATTTTTTTCAGTGCTGCTTTCAGATCGCACATTTCAAAAGGAGCATCGAGCTGACTGTTTTCTCTACCTGCGTATTCATATGCGTTCCTGTTGGGATCCGTGGTGCGACATAGGTATCCAGCACACAAATCATCAGCCAGCTGGGAGTTGGTTCCCTGAAAACTGTGCAGGGCTCGACGGAGCTGCTTTTGCGCTTCTCCTCGGGTTTGGGCGGGGTCCACGAGAGTTCGAAAAAGGCGCCATGCTTTCTTTGTATTCATTTCTTTAGCTACAACATTGCACCGTTCTATCCAATTGGATTCGTTCAGTTGTGCAGCATATTCATCCGCTTGCTTACTCAACTTGGCTATTTTAAGTTTAAGCTTGCGGTTGAATTTGTTTTTCCGCCAACGTTTAGTTTAGCTTCTGCGGGCGTCCCAAAGGTGGAGCAGGTACTTATCGACGGCGGGGGTGTCTTCCGTTGTCTTTATAGTTTTAAGGCACTTGGAATTGGCTGCAAGGAGCTGTTTTGCCCATCCCGTATATCCTCCCGCCCCAGGCACAGAGGGGATCACCTGTGAGCGGAAGGCTGTCCAATCTGTCAGCTTAGCTTGGCTCCATGTGCTACGGCCTATGTTGCCGGAGAGTGTGATTCTGAGGAGACAGTGATCACTGCCGAGCGTTTCTTTTAAGCTTTCCCATGTTGCGTAGGAAATGTTCTTAGCCAGTGATAGATCCGGGCAAGCATCTCGGTTTACAGAATTCCCGATTCTAGTGGGTTTCATTGGATCTGTGAGAAGCGATAGACGAAGAGTGGATATCAGTTGTGCCAATTTCCGTTTTTTGGGGACTTCGCGGGTGTAACCCCAATGATAGCTGGGGGCGTTAAAGTCACCCAAAATCACTAGTGGGTTGTTATCTGCTTCCTTAATCGCTTTATAAAACATTTCGTTGAAGACACATTGCCTAGATTTTGGAGAACTGTATACATTTAGAATGTACAAGCTAGGATCTCGTCTTTTATTGGGAAGGACTTTGACCATTGTGTATTCATGCGCCTCTGACAGATCAAAATCTATCTGACAAGCGGTATAATCCTTGTGTACGAGAACACAGGTGGACGCACTTCCCTGAAATGAGTTGTAACCAGGCAATTTCGCCTATAAGCTGGTTTCTTGTAGCGCCAAAACTGCAGGGGTAAAATGTTGATTCTGCAGGAAAAGGTTAAGAGTGGCCCTCTTTTTCCTATCTTTAAACGCCCTGCAGTTCCACTGGAAAATATCGAGTTGCTGTTGTTTGGAGCTTTTATTATTATGTTTAGAATTGCCTGCCATCATGAATTTATTATTGAGGAGGTGTCATTTTCGCCACTGCAGCCAGCGTGGGAGCCTGGAGAGGCGTGGGGGACTCAGTTTGGTTGGTTAACGACTGGGCTATGTTGTTCTCGGATTCAGAATTTGCCAGGTTACGATGAACAATTTTGCGTCGGGGTTGTTCTGTTGTCTTAATGCTAGTTTTGAGATGGTCCAATTGGGGTGTGAGCCAATTTTGAACGGTTTGTAGTACACTGGCTGTGAGAAGTGGCAAAATGCTTTGCTTGAGGTATTGCATAGCGGCTTGAACTGATAGGTTCAGCTGCTGCGGAATAATGTCTTGTACTGTAAGCTTGGTTTGTTCTAGGGTCATTTTGCTCTGCTCCTCAAGTTTAGCCTCTAGTCTGCTTAGTCGACCTTCTATGTAGTTCGAAGCACCTACTACAGTTTTAGACACACTAGTGTTACCCGATACGTCTGACTGAGTGTCCTGCTCATCGTCCGAGCAGTCGGAGGTGTGCATAGCAACCGGTTCCGACGGTGGTGGAGGAGTAGCAGCCTGCGACGCCTTCAGCGCCCGATTTTCGCGTTCCAGAGTTTCAATGCGTTTTTTCATGGCTTCCAATTGTTTTAAAATTTCAGAATTGGAGGGGGAGGCATTGGTGGTGGTGGGAGACTGAGAGGAGACCCCTATCCAATTGCTCACCTGTTTGGGCGGGTTTGCCAGTGACGGGAAATCCTCGGCGCCGAAGGTAGACGGCCTCGACTTCTGTCCGGCTGGGGCTTTGATCGGCTTGGGCTTGTTGTGCATGGGCTTCGCTTTTTCGTCAGTCCTGAGAGGGGCTGAGGGCTCTTCTTGCTTGTTCTTTAGTCCATGTTGCCGCTGTGTTAGAGCGGGCTCCCATGCCTTCCGGAATTTTCCGACGCACTGCGCTGAGCTGGTGAAATGGTTTTCACCGCATATAAGGCACTCTGGTTGACAGTCGTGCTTCACTGGGCCGTTCAGAGTGAGTTCCACCTTCGCACCACAGTGAATGCACCGCTGATTGTCCGGATTGGGGCACGCATCCGGTCTGTGGCCCACCGTTCCACACTGGTAACATGCCGGAACCGTTTTCTTGTAGTAGCGCACTGGCACGTTTTCACAGCAGTAGTGAATGAATCTTGGAACGCGGCGTCCTTTGAAGGTCACCACTGCAACGTTGGATGTTCCGAGTTTTCGCACATACAAAATTTCGCCGTCGATCCACTCGAGCTTGCGTCGAAGGGATTCCGAAGTTTCATTGTCTGCGACGGTGACGACACCCTTGCAGGTTTCTCAGGCTGATTTCAAATGTCCTTGAAATGGTACCTGGCGGTCCCCGATCGTCAGCGTGATGTCCCCGATGATCTTCAAGGCCAGGCTTTCCGTTTTCACACCTACAACAACGATGTTTTGGTCCCACACCGGCCACACGGAGATACCAGCGTTCGTGGTGCTGCCGGTGAAGCGTTGCACTGCTGTGCCAATGCCGCCTGGGCCGAACGCAGCGTGCAGATCCATGGTTATTTTTGGTTTAAGCACAATAACCAACTCGTCCGACCGGATTCGAGGCGTGTGTGTTGGCTTCCACGTCGCCAGCTGCCGCGGGGACTCAACGCAAGCTGCGGTTGTTGATCCTGTTTTGCGAGCCTGTGGCTGCGCGGCGGCCGTCGAGCCTCGGGGCTTCATTTTAGCGAGCTTCTCTTGCAGTTGGCGAACCATGATCTGAAGATATTCGTCTTCACCTGGTATGGGGTCTTCCCGTGTTTCTGCCACCTCGATGTGAACCCACTGCATCGTGCTGGGGTCGTAGCCTGTCTTCGTGGACGCTGCCATGGCTGGGAGCCCGGGCGTAAGCCTCGTCGGCATTAGGCTTAGCCGGGCTTGGGCGTCGCGTGGTGTTAAACCAGTCGTAGATTGGCGGAAAATGGGCCTACCTGGATAAAATAGGTATCCAGAAGTTCCTGATGGCTTCGGCGAAACGCGGAACCCGGTTTCTGGTGGATATTTGCCAAAAGTCCACAACATTCGTCGATTTCCGACGGAGCCGACGTGACATGCGTCTCATGCGCGCGCTGAAACGCCGCGTCTCATCCCTCCCAAGGACATCCAGAAATGTGAGCTCACTCTGAAACGCCAATGCCGCGGCGAGAACGCTGGTCCCCCAGACAGACAGACAATGAACTTTATTTGATCCTGAGGAGCTTTCGTGGGAACCCCTATCGGGGACCCGCGGAAGCCGCTGGCCGCGTTCAAGTAGGGGCTGGGACACCGTGATGTTCCGCCCTTTCTTGGGCCCTCTGGATTGCCTGGATTTGTGCTTGAAGTGATGGGTTCCGGAGTGGCTTCGCTGGATAGAGGGCCATTAGGTAACGCGGGGCATTGCCAAAGCATGTGCGCTAAGGAACAATAAATTTCATTACATTCCGGACAACTTGAGTCAACGTCTGTGGAGATACGACTAAAAAGGCCCCGCGAGAAGAACGAGCCCGTCCGGAGCATTCTAAGTGTAATTGACTGAGACCTATCTAACTTTGGGTGAGGAAGAGGATAGGCTCTTCTACTTAGCCGATAGTGAGATGTGACTTCATTAAACATAAGGAGTGGATCGTTATGCTGTATTTAATCCTGACCCCATAAGGCCTCCATGCCGCCGCGGCGCGTTAGATCTCGCACACGGTCATGGGCAAGCTCGTTGAGGTTAGGTACGTGCTGATGAACGTCCGCACCCATATAGGCGGGAAATCAAGAGATTAAGTGAGTGCCAGGGTCTGTTCTTTTTCTAGAATGGAGGCAGCCTCCCGCGCTATGTTACCCGACTCAAAAGCTTTGATGGCCGCTCGTGAGTCTGTTAACACGGTGGTGTGTGAGCGGTCGGTCATGGCCAGGGCTATGGCGACCTGTTCTGCAACTGCGCTTGTAGCTAACCTGACCGAGGCTGAGGAGCGTAATTCCCCGTTGCCGTCAATGACTGCCAGCGCGAATGTGCTAGACTTGCCGTACTGAGCCGCGTCGACAAAGACAGTCGATTCTCGATTCTCGGCGGCGTTCTGTAATATCGCCCGTGCTCGGGCTTTTCGCCTCCCTACATTGTATTGCGGGTGCATATTCCGAGGGAATGGGCTGACCACAAATGTTTCCCGGACCTCCCGGGATAAGGTAATTTCTCGTTCAGCAAGCATTCTGGGAGCCATGCCAGCCTCGTCCAGGTTGCGTCTTCCTGCCCTGCTTGACAAGAGCCTGACCACCTGGGCGGTGACCTGCACTTCGATCACTTCATCAATCTCGTTTTGCATACCGAGTTGTCTTAATTTGTCAGAGCATGTGGTTACTGGCAACCCTAGCACCTTTTTGATGCTCTTACGGATGAGAGTGTCTAGCTTATTTTTTCCGTTCTAGTCCAGGTAAGCGCCGATGCTACATAATTAATGTGGCTCATTAGGAAGGCATGATGGATCCGAAGTAGGTTGGCTTCACTTAGTCCATTAATGCGTCCTTATACTCTAGCAACAAGTCTCAGCATGCTTTCGGTTTTGGCCGTGATGTGCGTCAGGGTTTTGGCGTTACACCCTCTCGCGTCAATCAGTAGTCCTGGGATTCTGATTGAATCTACTCGTGGAATGCGCTGTCCATTTCTTGCAAAAAGGGTAGATGGGAATTTGGTCGAGGTGTGGAAGTCTCCTAACGCCTTGCCTGGCCGGCCAGTACAGTAACAGTTCTGATTTGTTTGGAGAGAGTTGGAGACCTGTGCCTTCTAGGTAGGACTCCGTTTCGTCTAGGGCTGATTGCAGCGCGTTTTCTACTTCTCCAAGTGATCCTCCCGGGCACGAGATCGTGATATCGTCCGCGTAAAGCGAGTGGCCTATATTGGGCAGGGATCTGAGCCTCCCCGATAAGCCCTTCATGACTATATTGAATAACAAGGGGGAGATGACCGCCCCTTGGGGAGTGCCTCTGGCTCTTAAGGCGAACTCGTCTGACTTGTGTTGAGCGATCCTTATAGTAGCCGTTCTATTCATCAGGAATGACCTAACAAAGGCCTGAAACTTTGCTCCCAGACCTAGGCTGGCCGTGGCCTGCAAGACAAAGCTATGAGATACGGTGTCAAAGGCCTTGGTCAGGTCAAGGGCTAGGATCCCCCTAACATCCCTAGTGTTGTTATCGAAAATGTGCTTCTTAAAAAGTAGCATTACATGTTGTGTGGAAAGGCCAGGCCTGAAGCCGATCATGTTGTGTGGGAATAGTTCCTTGCGTTCTATGTAGTTCGAGATCCTATTGAGGTTCGCATGTTCCGCTACCTTGCCTACACAGGAGGTTAATGATATCGGCCTTAGGTTGTCAAGATTTAAGGGCTTACCCGGTTTCGGAATAAGCACAATCGAGGCCGCTTTCCACTCTGCCGGCACGCTTCCACTCTCCCAAGTCTTGTTGACCTCTTTCGTTAGCATCTCAATTGATCTATCATCCAGGTTCTTTAACAGTCTGTTTGAAATGCCGTCTGGTCCTGAGGCTGACCTGCTATTCAAGTTGTGAAGGACGGCCCTAATTTCAGACTCTGTGAAGGGGTCATCGAGCTCTGTTACCGTGTCACATTCTATTTCAGGATACTCTTCTGAGCGTCCTGCGCCTAGCGGGAGATATCTATTCGCTACCTCGTCTAAGAGCGTTTCTTCCGTTCCACCCTCTTGTCCGTGCTTGTGAATCAGGCGGCACAATGCCTGTCTTTGATTGCCTTTGGTCTGCGTGTCGTCTAGCATGTGTTTAAGAAGATTCCATTTCCCCCCTGTACGCATGCGTCCATCGACTGCTGAACAGATCTCATCCCATTGTAGCCGAGCTAACTCGGTGCAGTACTGTTCGATCTCCCTATTCAGTTCCGCAACCCTCTTTCGTAACCGTCAGTTAAGCCTCTGTGTTTTCTATCGCCTCAAAATGGAGGCTTTGGCTTCCAAGAGATGTGCGAGGTGCGGATCCATCCTGGGAACATCGAGCTCGGTTTGAATAGTTTTTGTGGCCTTTTCAACAGTCTGCTCTGAGTGTCTGAATGAGTTCGCTGAAGCTGTCATATTCGCCCGTGTCCTCGTTTCTGAGCTTTCGGAAAGCATCCCAGTCCGTCATTTTAAGTTCCCTCTGACCTGAATGGTAACACTAATGATGAAGTGATCGCTGCCCAGGTTTTCTTGCTTGTTATCCCAGGTTGTTTGCTGTTATTTTTGATAAACGCGAGATCGGGGGTTGTGTCTCTAGCCACCGACGTGGCCAGTCTCGTGGAAAACCGGGGATCGGTGATGACTGTTAGCGTTAGGTCATCGACTTCCCGCGCTAGATTTATGCCCTTAGCCGTTTGCCTGATGTACCCCCATGCGTTATGTGGGGCGTTGAAGTCTCCCGCGATTACTAACGGTGACTGCCTAGCGAGTGTAGCGGCCTTTGTAAACAGGGAGTGGAAAGACTGTCTCTGATCGGATGGTAGGCTGTAAACATTTAGAATGAACACGCTTTGTTTAAGCCACCTGTTAGGAATAACCTCAATGAAAAGCGCCTCCATTCTGCCACGACCTGGCTAAATGTCATGTACAACATATGCGAGCTTTTTGCTCACCAGCGTAGCTATACCTTTCTTGGATTCCCCCCTTGCCGCCACCGATTTGTAACCAGCGAAGGTGGGTGTGTCGCACAGTGTTTCCTGTAGCAAAATTACCTGGGGCCTTTCTGCCTGAGCCGTAACGCACTGTTGCAGTGAGGTCTTGCGCCTTTGAAAGCTAGCGCAATTCCAATGCCAAATTACTAGATTATTTTGAGTGCCCGCCATTTTGCTAGTTTTAGTTTTATTGACCCTGCGGGGTCGCCCCCGCATCATCATTAACTGCAGCTTGTGTACGAACCTTTGGCCTGGTCTTAATAGCCATTTTATTCTCAAGTGCGACTACCTTATTTTCTATGGCTCCTACTTTGCTCTCAAGTGCTCCCATGCGCAGCGCGAGTTGATTACTGCTTAACTGGTTTTCTTTGGAAATCCTAAGTAACTCTTCTAGCATCTTGTTCTGCGAGCTTTCCACTTGCATCTCCGAGTCGCTCTCATCCTTTGGAGGTGGAGCCTTACGCTTGGCCTTGTTGACCTCGACTTTGGGTTCCTGCGTGCTTTTATGCACGGCGTTATCCGCCACGTTCGCGCCCTCGACTCTGCTGGAAATGGCCTGCGCGGCTGTCTGCTTGCGTAGCTCTGCTTTGAGACTAGCAATCTCCTGACGTAACTGTTCAGTCTCACTCTTTTCATCATGCTCGGGCAATGCCGACCACGTTACCTTTTTGGGCTTGGTCATCTTCTCCTTGACTCGATCCGCCCATGTGAGTTCCTCCTGGATTCTCCTTCTAGACGCCGAACGCCCTCTGGAACGCGAGCGGCTCTTGCGCCGCTGCGCCACTGGCGTGACGAAGCGGCCTCTCCTGGGTGTGCCGGAGACGCTAGGTGAGACGCTGGAGTCACGGGACTGCATTCCTAGGGCCATCTGCTTCTTCTTGGAGCGCCGGTGGCGTTGGCGTCGTCTCCTACTGACGATGTAGGGGACTTGAAATCTGTCTTTGCATGCTCTGTCTGCAGTGGGATGTGGACCTCCGCATAGCGAACACTTTGGAGTGCAATGATGATCTTCCGTTGGTGATTTCTGTCCGCACGTGCGGCACCACTTGCTGTTTGGATTAGGGCAAACGTCAGCATGGTGTCCCAAACCTCCGCAGCCTTAGCAGACCTCCGTGTGTCTACTGTATAGAGTGCAGCGAAACATGCTCGCACCACAGGACACATAATTGGGCACCTTCATACCCTTGAACAATACTACCACAGCTGTGGTGTTCTTAATTCTTTTGACCTCGATGGCTCCTGGGTTGCGGTGGTTCACAATTCGTGCTCGGAGCTGAGCCTCGCTGATATCCACGTCGACACCCCTTATGACACCTTTGCACGTGTCATCGGGGGGAGCCGGGTACACAGAGACCCGTTACGTGCAATCACCCAATCGGACTTGCTGCGCCTTTACGTACGCGCACGCATTCTTCTCATGAGGAGTACACACCACATAAATGTTTTGAGTGCCATTGGGACAAATGGTGTCCTCTTCAATTTCGGCTGGAGCCAGGGCCGCCGCCATGGCCAAGGCTTGCTCGAAACGTATTTGACTGACCTTGGTCACATTGAGACCGTCCCTCGGTCTTACGATGATGCGATACGTATCCCTCGGAAGTTGAGGGAGCCTCGAGGTGGCGACGATGCGTTGGTACGCGTTCCGTGGGGCGGCAGTGCGGCCACCGCCCTTTCGTCCGCCACGCGTTGGGGTGCGTTCGCGGGTAGTAGTCGCCGTTCTCATTCCCTTGCTGTTCTTGTGGCCATATGCTGTCATCCAGCCGAGGCTGCTTGCTTCTTCCTGGGAGATTTCTTCTCCCTCCACGATCTCCATCTTGGGCTAAGGCGCCCACGGTGGCAGGGTTAGGCCTAGGCCTGCTTGCGCTGCCTCGCCGAGGTTAGGCTTACCGCGTCAGGGTTAGATGTGCCGTGGCGTGGTCGGAGCTGCAAACACTCATAAAGGGAAAAAGTCACTCACCGTAGAATGGCCGGTGTTGGTCAAGTCCTCGCAATGCACTGCGTCGTTTAACACATAATGTACTCGGTTTCGACGAAAAAAACCAACCAAAACATTGAAAAAAGCAGGAGCCGAAATCAGCGCGTCCGCACTAGTCGGCGCCCCCTGGCGGTCCCCGCTGGTCCCCCACTCTCCCGTCCACTCGATCCTCACTCTCAGCCGTTCGCTGGCTGGGCGCCCCTCAAGGCGATGGCAGAAGTCGGTGAAGGTGAATGTATGACGGCAACGGTACCCTCTCTCGGTGCAATAATTCATGCACGATTCCCTTCGGGGAGGGGGGCATTTTTAAATCTTTCTTGGGGACCTTCGACGCAAAAATTTTGGTCTGTCTGCCTGTTCATTTGCCTGTTTGTCCGCCCTTAACGGTATCTAAAAGGCACCAGACGATATCCCAAGCGGCCGACCCCATCCGCAGCACCCACCAATATTGCTCGAGGTTTAGCGTTCATACTTGTGCGATTGTCAATTAAAAAGAAATGATAGCGCATATCTGAGGTACCATAACAACACGTCAATATCTGTATGTGGCCCCGCCGCGATGGTCTAGTGGCCAAGGTACTCGGCTGCTGACCCGCAGGTCGTGGGCTCGAGTCCCGGCTGCGGTGGCTGCATTTCCGATGGAGGCGGAAATGTTGTAGGCCCGTGTGCTCAGATTTGGGTGCACGTTAAATAACCCCAGGTAGTCAAAATTTCCGGAGCCCTCCACTACGGCATCCTTCATAATCATATGGTGGTTTTGGGACGTTAAACCCCACATATCAATCATCAATATCCTCTATGTGTATCTTTTACTAGAAAAGGCCTACATAAGTAATTCTAAGAACCGTAGCGTTTATCACGCTGCGCTGACCATGCAACGCTTGCACGAAAGGGCAAGTGTATCCAACGCTTTGCTAAGACGACATGGTGGTGGCACCTACCCGTCGCCTTGCATTCTACAGCTTATACCCTCCGAGGCGGGTGCGCATGCCGCGCGCTTTGGTTTCCAAGATAACTGCCAGATAGCGCTCATGACTCACGGTTGACGTATCTTGAAGCGCTCGTTCGCCTCCGCTGCACGCTCGAGGCACTCTAAC